ATCAATCCAACTGTCCGCGTTGTTAAGAGACGAGTAGAACACATTCCTACCAAGAAAAGAAAGAGACCTTAGTGAAAAGGGTAATAGTATATATAATTTGCCATTTCATTTTTATATTTGTCATTTCATTTTAATTTGTCATTTCATTTTTATTTGTCATTTCATTTTTATATTTGTCATTTCATTTTTATTTTCTATTTCATTTATATTTGTCATTTCATTTTAATTTGCCATTTCATTTTTATTTGTCATTTCATTTTTATATTTGTCATTTCATTTTTATTTGCCATTTCATTTTTATTTTTTTCATTATTACAGGTCAAATGGCTAGTAATCAAGAAAACGCAAAAGATGCAAATGCTCCTGAAAATGCTCCTGAAAATACTCAAGAAAATACTTCAGAAAAAGATATTACACGAGGTATAACTATTATGAGGGGAATCATACGTGATAGAGATAGAGGAGTAACATATAATGTAGAATGGAATGATAATGACCAATTATTTGGGTCTAATGCTGCAAAGTTGACAAGCTACATTGGTACGCTTGTTCGTATACACATTCCGATCACCACTCCTAGATGGAAAAGAGGAGAGTTGGATGAGGCTAAGGAGAAAGTTTGGACTGAGATAAAGGTACATATATGGTTTTTGTTATTTGCTTTATCTTGACGATAATATGTGTTTAAATTTCTTTTACTAACACACTTTATGCGTATGTTTTTTTGTAGAGGTCTTTTAACATTGAAGATACCCGTAAAAAGTATATAATGGGTTTGGCTAGAAAAAGACACAGAGGGTGGAGAACATTTTTAACAAACAAGTATCTTAAAGATGATGAAGGAAATTTTCTTGAAGAGGATCCGGAACGTCCAAAGAAATATGAGAACTTCATTACACCTGAAGAATGGGTTGGTTTTGTAGGCCAAAGAAGAGACGAGAATTTCAAGAAAGTGAGTGCTATAAATCGCGAGAGAGCGTCAAAACCCGCATATCCATACAAAAAAGGGTGTTTGGGATATGCTCGCTTAGAGGAAATAATTGTAAGTAAATATAAACTCTACGATCTTATTAATTCTCTCAATGTGTTATATAGTTGATGATCTTAAGACTTCCGTCATTGCGTAGTTAGAAGAGACGAAAAGTGACGCAACATCACTACCGGCATATTTGTTGTGGAAGGAAGCCCATGTGGGCAAGGATCAAGTTGTTAATCCTGATATTCAACATGTGTATGATGAATGTGTAAGTATAAGATTGTGTCTTTAGTTAAATCAATTAATGTTTATTAATATTTAAGTAATTTTTTATCTCCACTAATAATTTTTTATATGTAATTGAATTACAGGAGACCTTGTCCCAATTGGTATCCCCAGGTGAGGATCCTCACGATACCAGGAGCGTACTTAGTCGAGCACTAAATATTGCTGAGTATCCGGGTCGGGTGACGGGTAAAGGTCATGGTGTGACTCCAACCTCTTTGTATAAGCATCCAAGGAGAAGAAATCCTAGCAATGCAGAAGTGATGCAAACATTGCAGAATTTACAAGCTCAAGTTCGTGAATTGCAGAAGGATAAAGAGAGATATATGGCGGAAAAGAGCAGTTCACAATTGAAAGAAACTAGTGACAAAGCTAGTATCAACTGTCAGCATAAATTTCCCGAGGTAATTTTCAATATATATCTGTTATTACTATAGAATATTTTTAGTCACTTCTAACGGTTATTATTGGTTTAGGGCATTTCATCTTGCCAGCTATACCTATCGTCACCGACTTATCGACTAGTTGGCAAGGGAAAAGTCCATAACAGTTCGGGAGATTTACTTCATAATAGACCTCTTCCGGATGGTCACATGAAAGTATCGGTTGACATTGCTTTAGATATGGATGCATTGTTGCCGGTACCTGACATTGTTGCTGAGACCACATTGCTGCGAGATGCAATTGGATCTTTTGTTGCATGGCCATCCGACCTCATTTTCATAGATGATCAGGTATGTTGAAAACAATTATGAATCTTTAAGTCTTCAACTGTCAGTTCTGACCTCAGTTATTTCCACGGTAATTATAGACTACTACAACACCTGCATCTAAGGGTAAAGGGATTTTGCGGCACGATGAGTCTGACGTATCACCAAAAGAGGTACGTTTAAAGTGTTAATTATATGATCCGAATAAAAAACTGCATAATTTTATAATTTAACCGAGTTTATATGATTTTTAGGTACCTTTTCATGGGTCACAACAAGTGAGCCAGAAAATCATTGGCGTACCACCCAAGAAAAGGGTGCCTACTAGATTTTTCCCTCGATACCGGCAGTGTCTTGAAACAATAGTGGGAACAACAAATTTGATGGATGGTGGTATTCGTCAAATGGATATGGATCAAGGTATTTTTGGTTTTCCTTGCACCGAAATAATTGGACATGAGGACGTGGAATAGATTTTCCGTCATAAAGAATTGGGTGTCAGTATTATACATGCATACATCCGGTAACCCCATCTTTATATTATGTAATTAGCTGAAATCTTTTTTAAACATTTTCAATGAATATACTCTAATATTAATTATGTTTTTATTTAAGGCTGTTATATGACAAATTGATGCGCGGGAATCAATTGTCAAACAGATTCCATTTTGTGTCTTCCTCCCGTGTCAGTGGAGCGACAATTGGTAGGGAACCGGATTCAGTAAGAGAGCACTTAGTCGAAAGATTCATGGCAACTGGCAGTACAGAAAGCTTATATCTTTGGGCGTATAATACTATTCCTACAGGGTTAGATTTTCATTCTAAATTCATTTTAATATTTTTAATTTTTGCGTAGAAAAATTTCTTCTAAACTGTTGTTTTAATTTATAGACGTCACTAGTTGTTGGTTGCTATCGATCCTATAAAAGAAGTGGTCTATTATCTGAATTCGGTTGACGGTGATTGGACAAATTATCCGGATATGAAGTTAATGATTGATACGTAAGTGAGATTATTCTAAATATTTGTGTGTATTTATGTATTTAATTATTTTTGTGACATTGTTCTAAATATATATTTTTATTTTGTTAGAGCGATACAAGTATTCCGGTGTCAAAGAGAAGCTCGGGTACGACGGTCGAAATCAAACAACATTAATTGGATCAAAGTGCAGGTATATTAATTTCCACTATTTTGCTTATAATATTTACGCTATTTGATAAAACAATACAACTATATATTCTTATTTGTTTTTCTATGTAGTGTCCTCAATAGCAAAACAGTATAGATTGCGGATACTTCGTTATGCGGTTTATCAAAGAAATCATTCAATTGAATCAAATAGAGATTCCAGTCACGGTATGAATTTATAACTTAGAATTTGTTTTATTATTTCTCGGATATTCCATATAATTTTTTACTTTTAACTAAATCATGCATATTATGTTTTCTTATGTAGTACTTCGATGAGTACAAATGTGCATATTACACGAAACTTCAGTTGGAAGAAACCAAAGAGGAGTTGTGTCAATATTTTATTGAGCAGAGAATAATATAAGGACTGGTTTAGTTGTTGTTAGGGTTGATTTTGTAAGACTGATTTTGAGTTAGAATACTGATAACAATAGTTTATATATAATTTGAGATACAAACATAATTTATGATTGATTTTGAGCAATGATAGTTTCTTGTTTATGGTTTCTTGTGTTATACTTGTGTACTAAAGTAGTTGATAGAATAAAATGAATTTAGTGAAAAGTATTGAGTATTGGTTTTGTTATATTGAGTATTGGTTTTGACTCAGAAACCGTAAACCATGGATAAGACATGGATGTATTCCAATCGATTGTCGAAAGAGTACGAGAACGGGGTATCGGAATTACAATGCATTACCGATATTTATGAATTACAGGTTATGGCAACTGGTTTATATAAATAATATGCTGCAAACAATGCAGGTATATGAATTATATAAATAATACCTCTAAAAAAAACACCCTATGAAAGCGCTTTTTGGAGAAAAGTGCTTTCATAGGTAGACCTATGACAGCGCTTTTTCACATAAAGCGCTTTCATAGGTAGACCTATGACAGCGCTTTTCCAAGAAAAAGCGCTGCTAAAAGACAACCTATGAAAGCTTTTTTCCAAAAAAAGCGCCACCAATGAAAGCGCTTTTTCATAAAAAAGCGCTGCCAAAAGCCTACTAAAGAGAGCGCTTTTTAGAAAAAGCGCTGCCAAAAGCCTACTTAAGAGAGCGCTTTTTAGAAAAAGCGCTGCCATAAGGGTACTAAAGAGAGCGCTTTAAAGAAAAAGCGCTGCCATAAGGATACTTAAGAGAGCGCTTTTTAGAAAAAGCGCTGTCATAAGTAGACCTACGAAAGCGCTTTTCATTAAACAAAAAGCGCTGCTAAAACCTATAGCAGCGCCACCTTAGAAAGCGCTTTTAAAGGCCAAAAAAAGCACTTTCGTAGGTCTTTTTTAGCGTAGTGTTTCTTGCAAAGAAAGATCTTGATTTCATAAATATGAGTCTAATGACATGTATGTATTTATATAGTAATTAAATATAAATCAATTAAGTTCAAAATGAAAAAGGAAAATTTTGAAATACAACATCAAAAAGATCAACATTTTTATTTTGTAACTGAATCACAAGATTCATTCATTTTGAGACACTTTTATTTTATAAATGGAAAAGTTACTGTAATATTGAGAAAGTGTTATTTCAAGTGCACAATGTAATTTCAAAAACACCTAAAGACACAAGCAAATATATACTTAATATTGGGCTATTATTTATATATTCTTCAACGCAAACATGTAATCTTAATTTAAATGTCACAGTTTAATTTGCTTGAGCAGATTAATATTATAATACCACTACTTTCTTATTTTTTGTTGTTAAGTACAATACATGACATATATGTAGTAAGTATTGCACACCAAATTATTCAAAGATAACCATAGTGTCTTACAAACTTAAAGGACATAATTTGTATAGAATACCTTAAGGGTGGTTTTAATAATTCAACTTAACAATTTGGGACACCAACACCACAAGCCTCAGCAACCCTTCTTGAACCAGGAGAGTTAACATATGGCTTCAAGATTGGGTTTTTGAGGTAACCACATAAGCATGACTTTTGATCATTCAATCTGCTGCAACATGTAGCAGATGGTGCAGAATTTGATCTAATTGCTGGTAGACATGGGCTCAATTGTAGTGCATTACAACCACCCTCAGCAATGAAAACCATCTCAACCATAACAACTGCCACAATCATCATTGCACACACAACCTTCATCATCCTCACTAAATCTCTACTTAGCTAGTAATTGCACAAGTTTTTGAGTGAGTTATATTGCTTAATTGGCTATGTATTTATATGCATAGAAAATTAGAATGGCTAAAAGTACTCTACTTAATTAATTATTATTGCACCTTAAATTTAGTGGGAAGTTACTCCGTTTGTTCCTTTTTACACTGTTGCATTTAGAATTTTCTACAAGTAAGACAGCTACCAAATTTTGTTATTTTTCATATTATTATTTATTTTTCTCTTGTAAAGTCATTATCAAAGACTAGTAATAAGAAAAATTGTTTTGTTTTATCCCTTAGCTCGTGAGTGATTTTAACAAAAGACTATAAGTAGTACCGAGTCCATCAGCCAAATCATTATCAAAGACTAGTAATAAGAAGAAATTTGTTTTTCTATGGGTCAAAGTCCTTGTAAATGGTTTTTCTCTTCATCACGTTATTGATACACAAACATTATAGAGTCACGGGATAATGTTATATTTAAGAGTAACTCCAATGGAAGTTTCTTCTCAGTAACAGTAGAATTAAATTTGGGTAACAGTGGAGTTGTCCACCTAGAGACCTATTGCATTGCATTATAATGGTTCTTCAATCTTACAAAGTAATAAGTTAATAATAAAAATGTTTATTTTATTCTATTTTTTAATTTTAAAGAGATCTAGTCGAATATATTTTAGGAACGTTTTAGATATTAAAATGATGAAATTTAAGTTTAATTAATTTATATGATGTTATTTGTTTTTATTATTTTTAATTATATGTCATGTATTTGAAATTAATTTTAATTATCATTTTAAATTATAAATTCAATTTGAATTTTATTTATTTTATATCAATTTTAATTTAAATAATTAAAATTATTATTTTAAATGATATAAAATTTAATATAATTAAAATATTAATATATAAAATAAAGTTGTGGAATACAATATAAATTCTTTAGAGTTGTACTATTGAAATACAAAATTAATTGAGTTGCTTCAAGCTAGCACACTTTAATAAATCTTTTTAAAAAAAAACTCAAAAATAAATTTATGGTCGGAGATTCTCTAATGACAAATTGTATTTCTTGTAAAAAAAAGGACAAATTATATTTAAGCACCAAAATCTTTTTAATTTTTATTTTTAACCCTCTTTTTAATTGAAAATTTAGATTAATGAAATCCAACTCACATGCAACATTTAAAAAATAAAATAATTAATTAGAACTTTAGTCCTTTAATTTAATTATTAATTTTATATTGATTTCATAAATAATATTTGTTATTTTTAAATAATATTTGTTATTTCAAATTAGTCTCTTTCGTCAACTTTAATGGTAAATGTTCAAAGATGAACAATATTATTGAATGTATTTATTTATTTTTAATTATTTCCTCTTTTTTGTCGAATATTATACTTTGAATCTTAACCAAAAATAAAATTTACTTTTACAAATATAAATATAAAATGACATTATTTTTATATAAATTTATGTGTTATTTGTTAAAATAATGAAAAGGTGAAACTTTTACTATAAATTAAAAATTAAAAGAGAATTAAAATTTAAAAACAATTGAAAGGAAAATAGTAACATAATAAAGAGGATTAAAAAATAGGGAAAATAAAAAAAAATGATATTAGTGACCGAAATTTCGTCTATGGTTTTTTATATAAATTAAATTTTATATAAAAATATTTTTTTTGATCAAATAGGCGGTCACAATTTTAGTCGCTAAATCGGTGGCTGATTTATTTTAGTGGCCTCTTAAAGTAGACTCACGAATATCAAATTTGGTGGCTAATTCGGTCGCTACAGTGAGCACAAATTTTCGGTCACTAAAAACGAATTTTTTAGTAGTGACGACGCGTTATGCAAATAATCGTTTGACTGATCTAGACGGTGGATGATGCATCAAAAGATGAAGTTATCTACGTTGAAAGAGAATGAGGGAGCACTTATTCTTCATGTTTGATTTAGTCACTCTTGCCTATAGATGTCTCATCTGAGATCTTAGTGGACTGTCCAGAATATTAACCCTAAGCCATTATTTATGTTGTGCAATATAAGGGTTTTACCGTGTACAATTTTAGACCGGGACTCAACCGAAGTAAGTAAAGAGTCTTAATGGGACATCACTATTGATATTGGGAATAGATGCATTAAGTCTTTTCCTTGTAATATATGATGTTTCCTTAGAAGGTCTTAACTAGCATACCTAGCTTATCATTGTGCACTGCTACAAACATTATATTTTATGACAAAGCTTTCACCTCAATCAATAAAAAACTGAGGCAATATTCCAAAATGCGTTATGTGTTTTTTCAAGAAAGTATCACATATTCCCTCGGTTTAAGAACAAAACTGAGAGGAAACTAATTCCGGGTATATGCTTCGAATCTTTGTAATCCTTAAACAAATATTTTTCGTCCATTTAATGAGTATCAGCACTCAAGAGACTGCCATTAGTGATTTGTGTGAAACCTAAAAGGCATCAATTCAGAAGGCTAATGTCATATTATAAAATCATTTTGAATATCAAAGATTGATCATGAAATCATTTTTCATGAAAACATTGAAACTTATAGAAGCTTGGGAAAGTCCTCTATGATGGACTGCAAGAGAAGAAAAATATTTGGGTTCAAGGGTTGTGTTCTTAAATAATCATATAACTGAATATTTATTTTATGTATATAACCCTTTTTATTTTATATCAGAAACAAAAGCAAGTAATATCTAACATTTGATCTTCCCCAAGATTCAGTGAAACGAATATCTATCATTTGATCTTCACTAACAGTGATGATGATGAATCAGATTTAAAATTTGTTATTATTGTTACTATAATATTTAGTGTGAACAATGTAATTTGTAAACAAATTAATTTTATATTTTGAGTAAACAATGTAATTTGTATTTTTTAAAAATTATTGTCCCTCGGTTTTATTCATAAATCGAGAGGTAGGAGGCGCTAATTTTGAAAATATAAAATTGTTGTTGTTGGGGATCGAACCAATGACCATTTCAACTATCGCCTCAGTTAATCAGAAACTAAGAGATAAAGTGGCAAGTTTTCATGACGCCCTTCATTACCTCGCTTGTATCACTGAGGTAAAATTCCATTTGCGCCTGAGGTCAAATGTTTTTTGTTGAAGTAGTGATGGGTGAGAATAGGTCAGACTAGATCTGTCATTAAAAGGCCTGAGTATGGCCTACGATAACTTTTTAAGGCATGAGTCTAACATATGGCCTATTATAGGCTTTTTATTGGTATGTTCTGGTCTTCTTACAAGCTTGATCTGACACAAAAACCTATTCAAAAGCTCGTTTCATATTAAGGCTTTTAAATAGTTCATTTACATTTTTTTTTAAAATAGACAACACAACCTTTTATATACTATTGGCCTATTTTCTAATAGATGTGTATATATATGCTAGATTATAAGGCTTCGTAGGTTTTTTAAATAGCCTAGGTCTGACCTATTTAATTAAATAGACTTTTAAAAAAGTCTAAGTCTTGCTTTTTTATTAATAGGTCAGGTTAAGCCAGACTTAAGTAGGCCAGGCTATAGGTTGGTCTGGTCTATTCTCATTCCTACTTGTCGGTAATGATTTCCTTTTTTTCATATGATACTCAAGTGTTCTGACCTATATTTTAGGTAATCTAGACCATTGGTGACATGTTTCTCGCTTCTTCGCATAGGAGATCGTGTGGTTCGTCACAGTGGGGGTACACATAAGAACCTTCTAACTTGAACTTTCCTCATTTTTCCATTTGCAGAATTCAGGAAACTCTTCTTCTTCTTTTCCTATATCTTTCTACCTCGCTGCCTAACTATCTATGTAGGTCCTCAACTTAGGTGTATTAGTATCACCTATTCAGCGTGTGAATATTCATTTTTGCTTATTTCTAAGATAATGCATGATCTTTTTCTTTCCTCTTTTGTCGCTTCCCCTTTCTAGAGTTTGAGACATTCTTACTTTGTCTTTGAACATCTTCCTCACCATGGGCGTATTTTGACATGAACTATTTGGTTTATGTTTTAACTTGCTTTAAGTTCTTTATTTGACTTTGTTCTTTCTTCTAACAAAGTCTGTCACTATAGAGCTAGAACCAACCATGAGAAGGAAGGATGTATGAGATATTTCAGCTAATTGGTGGATTAAGATATGTTAGATATTGTTTTTTTCTTTGCTAGTGGGGATAGTCTAGACCATGCTTTTATTGAAGTGGGGTCATCATTAAATTGGGGACACTTCATTCCATTTCACGAGTTCTTATTAAATATAAATAAGATTGAGGTTAATTTTTTAAAAGTCTAAAATAAGAGTATTAGGGTTTTAGTAGCTCTCTCTATAAATAGAGAAGTTCTCTCCCCTTCAATCCTAGTTTTTAGATTTATTCATTCTCAGGAAACGGCTAGCATCGTCCTCCACTTTGCACTCGTATGGACTACGTAGAGATATCGGTATCTTCCATTGTTTGTGATCAAATTAAATTCACACTTCAAGAGGTATATCGATAATTCTTTTGATATTGTTTGTAATTAATAGCTTAATCAATATCTAAGAGAATAAGTTTTTGAAAAACCCTTCTTAAATCTCATTCAAAACGATGGTGAAGAAAACATAATGACGTCGGAAATTGTGGTTTCCGTTATTAGAAGGAAGTTGGGAGATTTTCGTCGAATTAGGGTTTCTTATGTGAGACAACAACTAAACCGCTCATATGTTAGCAAAATATGCAAAAACTGTGATGGGGAACATCTGAATTAAAGATAACCCAACTAGCATTCAAGCCCGGATCAATTGAAGGCACAATATATAATTTTGGTATTTTCTTTTAATAAAAAAAAGAAAGAATATGTATATATATTATTTTTTGGTATGTGATGGTTCTGCATTTGATATAAAATTCATTTTCTAATCACATTATCAAATTCTAGTATTTAAAATTATAAATAATGCTTTTTGAAAAGCGCACTCACACTTTTCTTAATATAAAATAT